CACGAGAATTGCTATAACTTCCTGACTATGAGAGCGATTGCGGTCGGGGCGGTGTTAAATTAAAGCTAGCCTCCATACGCAAGCTTTGATTACATAGAGTTTTGAAATTCTGTTCTGTTCATTTTTTATATGTATTTTACTCGGTATGACTGCCAAAGTAGGTATAAAAAGCGCACTAAATCGAAATTTTCTCAGTCCAGGAATCCAATATCGAAAATCCGTCTGATAAAAAGTTAGCGATAACTGAGACCTTTAAAATAAAAAAATATCAGGAAAAGCTAAAGCCAAACGAAAGTTATAGCAATTTTTCTGCTTGAGACCGATGTTTTCAGACCAACATTTAGGAATTTTTAGAAAGGTGTGTGGGAGTAAGGGATATGAAAGAGTATTTCTTCAATATGTCTGTCAAAACGTAACCTTTTTTCAAAAAATTATATATATATTCTGAAAGAGGAGATCACGGGGAATTTTTCTATGATAAAAACTCAATTTTTTTTTCGAAAAATCGGTTGTTCTGATGGGAGGCCTTAAATCATGTTATTTTGACACCCGTAACTTCCTTGTCTCTCTCTTTATAAAGATAGTTTACTATTTTCGCTGAATTATTTTTCTAATATTCTCATCTTAAGAGAAATTACAGGCTAGGCCTAGAAAAAGTAGACCTGCTTGAACCTCTGTTGTCAAGATCTGTCAACACCCAATAGTTCTTAGAACATGTTCAACGTTAAGTTTTTATCAAGTTTGATGCTCTAAATCGAACTATAGTTACATCATTGAAAAATGTTTTCTGATCTCTTTTTGCATTTACGACTTCTCTCAGGAAAATATTGTTTAGGTACATTGAATATTTCCATCAATTTGCCTTGCTTTTCCCAAACTATTATTCATAGAACTTTTCCCAATACCATCAAGATACTCGAACTGATGCTCCTATTGAGAAATCAAAATATTGTATCGTAAGTATTATGAATCCTAGTTGCTTTCTACACGCCCATACCCAAACGACAAGTTCCGATACGAGTGTTATGTGCAGTTCCTTTACCCGGCTGCGTCGTAAAATATGTCGGTTTTTTAAATCAGATCCAGGCGATGGATTTTTCCTTGTTGAGTTTAAAGGATGAGTTGTCCAGGTGTCTTCAACCGATTTCTTAACCCAAACTTACTCTTTTGTATGGACACGGCAAGACTCTCTAGTGATACCTGTAAGGGGCGTAATTAAATGTAATTATATAGGAAAATCAATTTACAGCATTTAAAAGCTCTATATATTATGCGATAACGCGGATGTGTTCTTTACATGATTTCGATACAAAACTGATATACTTAGATGGATAAAAGAAAAACAGTCTTATTCAATCTTATCTATTATATGCGATAGACACTTGGTACCAGTAAATAGACCACTATTAGATTCATCACTTGCTTTCTCAATCGATCTAATTCATTTTCTGATATCGATATCATTGGAAATATTTCAAGGTTTTTTTTTCTTTCCTAAAACTAGGTGTTGGAATTGATGAAAAATCCTTAGTTCATAGTCTGACTGATTTAAGACTATGCTGTTCGAAGGTTATCGACGAATTCGGTGGCGCTCTTATTGAAAAATATATTGAAGGACGTGAATTTACTGCCTTAATTGTTGGCAGCAAAGATAATTTTCACGTTTTTCCTCCTGTCGAATACATTTTTCGTACCAAAACAACATTTATAACATTCGACAATAAATGGGGACAAACTTATTCTGACTTACATTGGCATTTATTAAATGAAATAGAAGAGCAACACTTAATTGATGATTTAATACTTTTAGCCAGACAATTGTATGAATCATTCAACGGTGATGGCTATGCTCGCATTGATATACGACAAGACAACAAAACAAAAGAATTATTCATTTTAGATTGCAATCTGAATTGTAGTTTATTCTATAGAGATTCATGTTCTGCTGACGCGATCATAGAATTAGCTGGTTGGTCAAAGACTACATTTATGAAATTCCTATTTGAAGAGGCATTAAAGCGTCAATGGCAATATCATTTGGCACATGCCTATACAATTAAATATTTGCCACAAATAGGTTTCATAATGTATTCATCGAGAAATTTATTTGAAGGCGATTTAATTTATACGCAAGAAAACAGCTCATTGAAGCTAGTAACAAAACAATTTGTTCAGCAAACATTTAGCGAGAAAGAAATGGAATGGTTCACAAATTTTGGTATGTAAGCTTCATTATGATGTTTTCTGTAAATATACGAGAAATTGCTTTTCTATCGAAATATTGTTTTAGCATGGCCAATTTGTTACAATGTTTTTATTCTTTGGCATGATGATAGTCGTCAATGGCAACCAATCAATCATTCGTGTGATCCAAATGTATGGATCAATGGCCTCGGATGTATTGCTAGGAGAAATATTGGTAAATATTTTTAATCTAAATGATATTCACTATCACTTCGATTACGTTTTTAATATTTTGTCACATTCAAGTTCAGCATCGACAGTTGAAAGAGAAAATTGTTCTGGGTTCAATTGAATGAAAGTTACTAGAATTTTAAAAAGCAGCTTTTTGTTCATTTGATAAAAATTACTATTAATAGAACTCCAAGATTATCATGATTCTTTCAAAAATAGCCTTCTTTGTTTCTAGCTTCAGGAGAAGAGCTGACGGTCAATTATTCAACATTTATGACTACGATACCAGATTTCCCGTGTTGGTGTGGTACAGCTATATGTCGTCGTCAAATAAAATCTGATGAATATAAAGAAAAATGGTTCCAAGAACGTTACGGATTACATGTCTCGCCGTATATGTTGATGTCACTTGAAATAGAAAAACTCAAGAAAAGGAATGCTTCAAACTAATTGTGACGATTTTAGATAGAAGAGATGCCTGTGTTGATGGTATTACACTTTATTTAACTCTTCAAATCATAAATCGCCTCGATTACATATAAAGCACACGCTTAAATACTCAACCATTTGAGAGAACGAAGGAGAATGAGAGATAAAGACAAATATCAAGAACAGAAAGATAAAGGCAATATATGTGATGAGAATAAATGGCACCATAAGACCAAATATTATGTATAGGTTACACTCGAACGAGAGCATTACACCCCCGGATGGAATTTGGACGCTCTCTGCATATAATCGTTACACTAATATTTCAAACTTTATTTGTTTTTCGAACATGCAAAAATTGATTCAGATTGTTTTTACAACGAATTGCTTGTGTCCTTTGATTTTTCATAATTTTTTCAATATTCATAATAAATACCGCCACTCTCTGTATTAAGAAAAATATCGCTGAGCTCCACTTTGAGATTCAAAAATACAAGATACATTTGTTTGGAACAACATAAATGTACTCATAAATAAGGTGGCCGCTACAGCCCATCGGGTCTGGGTTCCAAAACTTTTGATTATTCGGGTGTGAATGTGGATGAAGAGTAGACTCACACCCACAATCATTGCCTCACCATGTCGGATCCTACATTTAATGTAAAGACACCATCATGTTCTTTTGCTTTTCATTCACGAACCATACACATTACAATTCTTGCCTCAATCGTATTTCGATTCACTTCCGCTTTTGAATTTGCATTCTTGAGAGTGAATATTGCGCTTGTTGTCGACCTTGACCGATTTTTATTTTTGCTATTTTAATCAAGAATGATCTCCAGTTTCATTACATAATGAGCCATTACTTTTTGCATTGCTCTAAATTGGTTAGCGTCGATATTTTGCTCTTTAGACCACACAATGAATATCTGAAATAGAAGAAAATGATAAACAATATCGAATTGAGGGTGATGTCGAATAAATACTGTATCAAAGTTATCGTTGATTCTGGAATGGGAACTCGAATTATAAAATTGAAGAACAACAGTAGATTTTCATACTGGAAAGAAAAATTATGAAAAATGACTACGATATAATCTTCGTGCAATTAATCGAACCATATCAGATGAAAGTCGTGGTAGAGGAAAAGGAAAACAGGAAGAAGACAGAAACAGAGAAATTTTCATTTCTTGTAAACATTGTTTTGCAAAACTTCACTCACACTATTCATTCATCGTTGATTACTTAAAAAAGAAGAGCATTGGAATTCATTGTCAATTTGAGAAAGATTTCATATCATCAGTAATAACAATGTTGAATGCTCGACCTCATTATCGACCCCGTCTACTAATAAGCCCTGCCGTCGGATATGGCCAGCCAACGCCATCAGTTAATCTTTTGTGGAAATTGAATTGGCCATACAAAATCTCAACTATTATCGCTGGTTTGTTAATATTATTTGCACTTGCATTGATTGCTCTCGAAATCGCGTTCGTGGTTGAAATGGGAGAAGTGAACACTGGAAATGTCTTCACATCAGGAGTTGGTATTTGGTCTGGATTTTTCATCCTTGTGGCTGGTATTTTCATCCTTTTCATTGGTAAGTTATATCCATCTGTTAACATCAACGATGATTTTTATGCTTGTCTAATTTAGATTGTGTGAATGCTGTACGTCTTTTTACCTTGGTATCGTTTGGTCTCGTCATTTTAGCCACTTGTTTTGCAATCATTGCGTTTTCCATAAATGCTTACAGAGTTCATCTCTCAGTTCAGTACAGTCTTTTCTCGAGTAGTGGTTCTCCTGTACCAAGTCTAGCAGCTACAGAGCTGGCTGTCGGCGTTGTTGCATTTCTATTTTGCCTTGTCTTTATCGGTATCTATATATTCACTGCTATTAGAATCTCTCGTAAATCCAAAGTACAAAAAAATATCTATCCTATTCAGTAAACCTGAACATTACACAAAAGCACGGATACCGTTTCATTTTCATAGTTTTATTCAAGAAATACTTCTTTAGTTCCCATATCATTACAATTGTAGTTTTTTCGTTCTCTATAACTTTTATTGAAAAATATAACTTCTATCAATAATCAAGCAGAAAAATAAATTTTTTGTCACTGTGTCGAAATAATTGTGGGCCAGTTTATCACAGTGGATAGATCATGCACTATTACGATGTTAAGAGAAGAATCCATGAGAACACCATCCAACCCGGTTGCCGAAAAGTTTCAGTGTTTTTCCTCTATTAAGTTTACCTTTGAAGTGCCCAAGATGGATTTTGGTTTACGTTGCAGAAAGTGAAAAAACACATATTTTAAGATAAAAATATCTGCGCCAAATTATTAGCAGCGTTTCAGATTTCCATTCATAGTAATTTTATCATTTTGTTTCAAATATCCGAAACACCAATAACATCACTACTCAATGCATACTCGAGAAAGGAAAATGACGAAAACAAAATATTATAACCAAAATCATGTTTACTACATAGCTATTTGTGAATCTCACATATGTTTACACAGAAAATGAAGATTGTAAATTTTGAGGCGAGACTTTTTGCAATCCTCTCCTTTCCGAAAATAGATATAAACGATTAAAATCTGTTTTCGCTAATTGTGAATCACTGTAATTAACTTCCTGTGTATATAGAAAAAATTACAGATCTTATCAAACAGATAGAATCTCCATTATAGACATTATTAACTAAATTAGGCTATAATTGCAAACATTAGTGAGTAGATATTATATTTTCATTCTCTTTCTTCTATTTATTATATATGTGCTGATGTGTATGCACGAATTTTTATTTACCACTGAGAAAATAAACAACTTTTTTACATGCTATAATATGTATACGAAGAACGAAACAAGTGCAAGAATATAGAGGATAATCTAAGAGACAGTGACGGTCAGGGTTGTCAAGTCCAAATTTGAAAAACCAGTAGGTTCTCTTAAGAAAACAGGAATTCACCAGGAGATTTTCATCGAAAACCAGTAGAAAAACTAGGCGATTTTTTCGGAACCAGATAATGGTCTCGGAATCTTTTTTATGGAAAACAAAGATTTTCTTTCACAAAAACCGCTTATTTACTCTTTGTTGTGAAGTGAGTAATGGCAAAATCTTTCTCTACGTGAGATACAAGAAAAAAAATATTATTACACTTACTTTATGTTAGTATTTATTTGACAGCCAATAATTAAATTATAAAAACAAAATAGAAAAAAATTCCCTCAAAATAAATCCGATCATGGTATAATATTAGTCGGTAATGAGTTTGGCACGCACTAATTTGATATGCTTGCAACGGAAACATAAAATAAACGTATGATGATTCTTTCCTTTTAGCTAGAAGTGCGTAAGTTTCCACTGCAGTTTGTTTATAATTGTCATAAAAATTGAAGGTTAAAAAACTTTCTTAAAAACTAGGAGAAACCAGGAAGAAATGTTAAAAAGCAGTTTCTGGTACCAAGAGCTTTTTTCACCTGAGGAAGGCCTAAAAACCAGCAGACTTCTGGCTAAATCAGGAGATTTCGCAGTCCTCGTGACGGTATCAATTTGTGGTATCAGCGTAACATACTCCCATATTGGATGAAATAACTAATAGAAGTAGGTATATAATAACAATAATAACATGATCGAAAAAACAATGAAAATATAACTGTATATCAACCAATATAAAGTCAACTAGAACTTAAAGAAAGTCGATCGTAATGATTTAGTTATAATCGGATATTCTTCTAATTTTGATTTATTACGTATATCAATATGTGTACATATGATCTCGTTTCGATAATATCGCTTTTGTCGTTGAGAGGTACATGTATGCCGAGTCATTCATTCAAATCGTAAGCAACCTCATCTAGTATAATGACTATAATTCTTGAGTAGATTTACGAATACCTTGTTAAAATTTCTTTTGTAAGTTAATCAAATTTGTTGATGAGGTCTGTTCTTCAGAAAACAAGTTCTTTTCCGATTCGAAATTCTTTTAAAAATATTTTGATTACATTAATTGTTGATTTATCTTCATGAGGTAAATAGTACAATTCGAATATGAAAATTATAGTTGAATTATATGGTAGATGCATTTGAATCTGCATGAAAACCGATTCATTTTTTGCTTATGTATAATAATTGATTCAGTATCTAATGTAAATTCAATTGATACTCCCTCTCGTTGAATGAGTTGTTTAAATGCTTTTTCAGCTGTTATTCGCTTAATGAAAAAAATTAAAGGATGTAGGTGTACTCTGAAAAAAATAAAAGAGGTTTACAGAACCCTCCGAAAAGGTTCTGTAGATTTTCAAAATGCTCCAAATGTGTCCAAAGTCTCAAAAAAGGATAAAAATTTTGACAGAACCTTTTGAAGGTTCTGCGTTTTACCCAAGTGCAGAACCATCTCTTACAGAACCTTTTTTCGGTTCTGTACAAAACCATTAACCGTTGGTGCGTAACGCTAATGGTTCCGTACTGAACCCAATCGTTTTATACACAACCTTGAAGGTTTTGTATTTTCTCACGGAACCTTTTTTTGCTGTACAGAACCGAAAAAAAGGTTCTGTAAGAGATGGTTCTGCACTTGGGTAAAACGCAGAACCTTCAAAAGG